GTTATTACACCAGTGCTCAATCAAGGTGAGGTGGTTTTGGAGATTTAAGGATGCTATGTTGGGATCAGAGTTGGATGATAAGATTGCGGTGTCGTCAGCGAATGTTGCAAGAAAAGTATCGGGATGAACAGGGATGTCAGCAGTAAAGAGGATGTAAAGCACGGGACCCAAGACGCTGCCTTGGGGAACACCGGCTTTAACGGAGTAGATATTGGAAAATTCTGTTCCACAGCGAACTCGGAAGGAGCGGTCAGAGAGGTAGGATCGGAGGACTAGGTACAAGGACTGAGGTAAATGGATTTTAAGCTTGAAGAGCAGTCCGGAGTGCCATACCCGGTCAAATGCCTGTGCAATGTCCAGAAATGCACCCGAACAGTATTCCTTGTTTTCTAGGGCTGAGGAAATATGATCAACAACTCGGAGTCCTTGTTGAACAGTAGAATGTTGGGAGCGAAAACCAAACTGATGGGAAGGAATATTTTGGGATTCTATAATGGGTAGGATTCGTTTCAAAAGGATCTTTTCAAAAATTTTTGAAAGGATTGGGAGTAGGCTGATTGGTCTATAGGATGTTGAGCTATTGAGAGGTTTTCCTGGTTTTGGGAAGAGGATAATAGTGGAGTGTTTCCATAACAGAGGGAAGTGGGTGGTGCGTAGGATACAATTGTAGATATATGTAAGGAATATGACTGCTTTGGATGGAAGTTGTCGAAGGATTTGAGGTGTAAGGAGATCATGTCCAGGAGCTTTACGGAGGATTAGTTTTTTTAATTGAAATTTTACTTCGGAAGGATGAATAGCTTTTGGGGGCAAGGAAAGTGGGATTGGTGATGTAAGGAGTTCTTCTACTGTTACGGTGTGGGCAGGATGGGATTCCGGATGTGAAATAAATGTATTGGATAGGTGAATGGCGAACTCCTCAGCTTTATCTTCGTCAGATGCTGCCCAGGAGCCATCACCTCGTCGGAGAGGATGGGAAATGCGGTGAGGATTTAGGATTTTTGTTGTGGTTTTCCAAAGGGAATTGTCGCGAGAAGAGAGGGAGGATAGGTAGGAGTTGAAGGATTGTGATCTGAAGGTGGCTAATTCCAGTTTTAATTGTTTGCAGTAGTAATTATAGGAGCAGCGGTCGGTAGGATGTCGGGTACGTTGCCATAATAATCTGGCACGGCGTTTGGTGCGGATTAGGTTAAGGATGTGTTGGGGTAGAATGGTCTTTATAGGAATTCTGGAGGAGTCTTTTGGGAAGGAGGCAGTCCAGGCGGCTTGTTGGATTGTGGTAGTAAAGGAATTTACGGCACTATCAAGGTCATCGGGAGTTTTGAGGGATATGTTGAGATCAATATTATCGGAGATTATTTGGCGGAAAAGGTCCCAGTTTACTGGGCCCCTAATGAATGACGGTGGAGAAGGTTTGGGAACAGGTTCAAGTGAAACATTAAGGATTAGAGGACTATGGTCAGAGGAAAGTTCATTTAGACGTGTAATGGAACAATTGAGGGGACTTAAGCCGCTGTGGATAAAGAAATCAAGAAGATCAGGATTACGGTTGGGATCTGTGGGCCAGTAGGTAGGAGAGTTGGGGGAAAGGAGGTGAAAACGTTGGGAATTGAGTGCAGACAGCAGGGTTCGGCCACGAGAATTCGTGGTTCTGGAACCCCATTGTTGGTGCTTGGCATTTAGGTCTGCACCCAAGATGAAGTGATGTCCTAAGGAGTCGAGGAGAGAACTGAATTGGGCATTGGATATGGATCGGTTAGGAGGGCAATACGCTGATGCAAGAGTGACCGGAAAGGAGAAGGTTTTTATCACGATAGCGGTGGACTGTAGGAAATCATGTATTGGTAATGGGAGTACGTGATGGGAGAGGGATTGGTGTACAATTACAGCAGTACCGGCATGTGCTTTTCCGTCAGGGTGGTCAGTACGATATGTCAGGTATTGTGGTATATTGAAGTGCTGTTTAGTGGTTAGTCGAGTTTCAGTAATTAGTGCCACATCAATGTTCTTGTCAAGTAGTAAAGTAGATAGTTCGTCTGTATGATTTCTAACACCATTCGCATTCCAAAGGAGAATGGATATGGGTTTAGGGATGTGAGTCATTTAAGGATTTTTCAAAGGAGGGATGAGGTGAGATACGAGATTCGTGAGGAGTGATATGAGTGGAGTAACAAGGGATTTGAAATCGGTGAGGAAAGATGCTAACAAACTTGTGAGATCTGTTGCATTTGAAGGAGGAGGAATATGAGGAATTTGTTGTTGGTGGTTAGGTATATTAGGATGAAGAGGATTTTGAGGTTGGGTTTGAGGTTGTTGTTGTGGCAGGGCTTGACATTTATCGGTTAAAGTCTTACCTCTAAGTAGTTGGGAGAATGATACATCATTGTTTACAATTCTGGAAGGCTCTCTCTCTCTTCTTGTTCTTAGTGCTTCATCTTGAATCCGGTTTTTCTGGTGTCTGGTTTTGAGATTCTTGTAAATTTGGCAGCCTTTGTAGTTGGCCGGGTGTCCCTCCAAGCATAGGGCACATACTGCTGGATCTTGTATAGGTTTGGTGCACTCTACAGATTTGTGCTGTTCACCGCACTTCACGCAACGCGGCAGATGGTAGCAATATGTCTTCGTGTGGCCATAGGTCTGACAATTATGGCACTGCACGATGTCTCTCTTGGGATATGGCTTCTCAACTTTCACCATTGTGTAGTATATTCTTGTGATATCATATATTTTTTCGATACCTGGTGATGGCTCCAAGTCCACGAAAAACAATGGTAGTGGGATCCTATTTCGTAATCCTGGCTGCTCCCTGTCCTCCTTCAAAACGTTTGTTACCTGGCGTACATTGAAACCAAGCGTCGTTAGTTCTTCTTTAATAACTTCAGTGGGGGTTGAGGAATGTAAATTTCTTATCACTACTCGTAAAGCTCTTTCCTGCCTCAGCTGGTAAGTGTGAAAATTCGCATTTGTTTCTGATAAGTACTTCACTATTTTTCGGTAGGCTTCTGCAGAATCAGGTGTTATTTTGGTGTCATTGGTTCTGTTAAGGCATGAATAACTGCCAGAGCAGATTTTATTTAGTTGGGTGCAGAACATCTGGAAATTTTTTATATTTTTCACAAATATCGGAGGAGGCTTTGGTTCTCTGGGTATTGCTGCAGACTCCATTACTTCTCTGTCATTTTGAAGCACTTGGTAGGGGTTTGGAGTAAAGAAAGGTGATTCTTCAATCGTTTCTTGTGCAGACGTACCTGGTTGGGGCTGAGGTTCTGGTTCTGAAGTGTTCATTTTGGTCACTGGAGGTATTTCTCGTAGGCAGCGACGAGTCCTTTGTTTGGCTGGTGAGCTAACTCCGTCTGACCGAGACCTCTTGGGCACCTTACTGGCCATCACTTGCTGATCATACCGCATATCATAAGAGAAAAATAAATAAAAAAAAAAAAAAAAAAAAAAAAAAAAAAATTTTTTTTTTTTTTTTTTCTTAAAATAACAAAAAAAAAAAGATGCCAACAGTAAATATCAACTGCTCTGATATACACTTTAACTGTATCACGTGAATAATCAGAGAGATTCCGCTATAAAATTGGTAAAAACTGAGAGAGGAGTTGAGGAGACAACCTTCTCATCAGCTGATCCACTCGACTAAGAACTAAGAGATAAATAATAATAACCGTTACAAAGTGTGGAATGATGAAGTAGGCATAATCAAAAAGGGTGACATAAGTGTTACAATGGGAATCTTAGAATAAAATGTAAAACATAAAAAAGAAATATGAGGTTATATAAGAAATGAAAATAAATAGTAAAATTAAGACATTGAGAATGGAGTAGTTAGATAGAAAATTGAGATATTGTAAAGTCTATCAAGATGTACAGACAATATATAATATAATAAAAAGTTAAAAAACAGAGAAAAGGAATTTTTTTTTCTTTCTTTTACCATCACTACTTATGCTTCTCATACCTTGTTATCTGGTTATTTTCTTAGCCCTGATGAAGGCCTGAACTTTAGGTCGAAACGTCGACATATGTAAAAATAAATATTATCATTTATTAAGTTGCTTGGCAATAATAACTTCCAATTATTAACAAACGAGTATATTTTTTAACATTACATGTTACAGTCTAGTTGACGTTTCGGGACCTTTTATTCCCATCTTCAGAACTGCAATTCCAATACTCTTGTGGATACAAGGCTAAAAATTTTTTAAGTTACAATATTGTGTTTGTTACATTACATATTTGTATTATGTTTGTTACAATAAATTTGTAATTACCTTAATTCTAATGATTATAATAATGTGCTCCATCGTCAATTTTCTAATTTATGTTCTGGATTTTACCATCTAGAGCAACATTCTCCTTTTGACCAATAATTGGGTTTCTGCCATAGTGAAAATTTGACATTTGGATCTAAATGTTTTATCTGACTATTTTGATTGTTGGTGTTAGTGTTATTTTATGTGTCTGTGATTTCACTTCTATTAAATTTTAATTTTGTTCAGTATGTCTGTATAATGGGTGGTTAGTGTCTGTTTTGTAGTTGACTGTAGTTCTGTTGTTTTTTGTAATGTGTATTGCTTCAAGTAATTTTCTGTTGGTGTTCTTTGGTTCTGTGCCAATTATTTGTGGTTTGTTGAAGTTAAATTTATGCTGTAGTTTTATACTGTGATGTGCTAAGGCTGTTGTGTTTATGTTTTTTGGATTTTTACAGTTGGTGATGTGTTGTGCGATTCTAGTTCCTAATTGTTTGGATGTTTCACCAGGTGTTTTGCCAAGCAACTTAATAAATTGACAACTTCCCAGGAAAAAAGAAAAAAGAAGATTATCATTTATTTTTTGCCTTCTTCTTTGACTGACCACCCCAACTATTCTTCTCTTCATTATCCACGACAGTCAACTAGTTACCATATTTAGTTATAATATTTAGTTCTACTCTTACGGGAGACTCTGTACATCTAGCTTTTGGCTCTTAGACTATAGGGATAGAATTCTCAGAGACGTAAATTTATAACCCATTTAATTTTTAATTCTGACAAAGGACACTATTTGTGTTGTGACTGTGTTCCCCGTACACCTAAGAAGGCCGGCGGTCTAGTCTCCCCTGTTGCGGCACGCCCATCGCTTGTAACGTGCCCACCTGCCCAAGGGTTCTTCTACCAGCGAATCCGGACTCCCACCGTCGAGCGTGCCGCCCTTCGAGCTGCCGACAGTCTGGCTGGCTTTCAAGCCGCTGTCACTCCCGCTCCTCAGGACACCGCTGGCAGTAGACAGATTTTTTGCAGATCCTGGCGATCCTGATGATAGTGACGATCCTGATGGTCCTTGTACGTTTTCTCTTATAGAAGAGGTCACGTAGGTTGCAAATATCACTTCGTAAACAGTCTTTAACAATCTTCGAAGGTGGATTGGGGCTAAATAAAATATAGCAAATATTGCTAGTGGTCTTGTCTGTGAACAGGAAATAATTTTTTTTAACAATTTTACTTATTTGTTATTTATACAACTTATCTAGTAATAATATAGAATAGAATAGAAAATAGAACTTTATTCTGGGACTAAGTCCCCTTAGAATAACAAAGATGAATTAATACAAAATAAAATACCAATCTGGCCAAAAACTAACTTATAAAAATTCTAACATAATATACATTATTTAAAAAGTAGTATGTAACCACTAAGAAATAACCAAAAAAAAAAAAAATAAACACATATATACATACACACACATACACATATATTTACATATACACACACACACACACACATATACACATATATACACATACATACACACACATACACATACATACATAAATATATAAATGAACATACAATCTTCTCCAAATTTACGTATTATTACGATAAAAAAAAAAAAAAAAAAAAAAAAAAACAGAAAAGAAATTACATATCTATATATACATAACTGTACAATTTATAAACAATAGGCTATCTAATAGAAACATAATTTAATACAAAATGTAATAATATTTACAGTGATTCATACAATAATAAGGAAACACTGAGATAAAATAAAATCTCAGAAATTATTGTGGTATAAAGGTAAAAAAGGAACTATATATAAGTACTTAGTCATATTGCTACACAGTGAGACAAACAGTATAAAATATAAACATATATACATGAAAGAAAAAGCACAACCTGAGGTGAAGAGAAATACAAATAAATAGTAAAAATAATAGTAAAAAATCATTGCTGTTTTCTGTTAAAACTTAAACTGTAGGCATCACCATTTACTTCTCAAAAATATGTAACATAATATGAGGCGTTTATTTTCAAATTAAATATTAATAGATTGTTGGGGCCAGGGTATTTCAAAATGAAAATACAAATCTTTCCCCGCTGAATTTCCTCAAAGGTGGGGAAAATTCGAGCAAAATTAAATGGTGGGAAAGAAGGTGAAAAAAGTAGTGAATATGAGAGTCTGTAAAAGAAGAAAAAAATCTGGTGTGTCCACTCACACGACTTTCCTACCTCTTTCAGAAATGTTTTTATATCTTTACATATGTTCATCAAGAAACAAAAAAGAATTGAAATAGATACATTTTCCTGAAAATTGATCAAACATAAGATTTGAGTACTATTTATTTGATAAACTAAAGCAATGTAAACCAGCTTAAGGTAGATCAGTGTAAAAATTTCAATACTTCCTAATATTGCTGATAAAAAACTTTTTGCCATAGCTTAGTATTGTCAAACAATAATTTCTGTTAAAAGTAGAGGAAATAGTACAGATTGTGTGATGCGTCATTTTTATTCTCTCATTCACCCCTTTCTGACACCAGGATATGAAACCGCAATCTTACATTGGAAATAGAATAGCTGTAACTCCGTTAGTAGTTGTCCAAAATGCACGATTTTTATATGGCTTTGTAGGGAATTTCATTACCTTTCAAACGACAGGCTAAACGGCTCAGAAAGAATAATACTGGTTCGATTCCGATAATTTTGTTTTTGATTTGTTGGTAATTTAATTACCTTTCAAAAGTTTTATTATAAGTTTTACAGTATAATATATACTTAGGGAGTTAAGCCACATAACATTATTCTTTTCTTTATAACTTTTTTTCCCGAAATTTTTCGAGAATTTAGTCTATATACTAAAATTGAAAGAACAATGATTAGAACATAATAGGAAAGTTTCATCAAAATCTTTAGAGCCGTTTTTGCGCTACAGTCTATAGAAAAACATGTTTTTCATTTCTTGCGCGCAACCTATTGAGCATGGAGCACCGAATTTCTGTCACAGGCATCAGTAGTCAAAACCCTACAAAATAAGAAAAGAAGCAACAAAATTGATTCAGTAGTTCCCAAGAAAATCTTGGCACAGACAGACCAATGGCTAAAAATGTGTTTTTCGGACTCAGGGAGCTCTGAAACGTATAGATCCGTCGAAAACTGCATGTCGGAAATTTGACCCGATTGCTATACTTTCCTTACCTAGTATAGGTAGGAAAGTAAAAATACATGCACATCCAAAATATTATAAAATTTCTCAATTAATTAAATATGTTAAGATAAGCAAATAAAGAAAATCCCCTTCTAAATGTTTACAATATTTATTGAATTGAAATAAAAAAAGATGAAATATATATACATACAAGATTTAAAAACATAAAGATAATACTCAATGAAAAATAAATCATATATAAAAATAAACTTCCAATAATAAAGATTAATTCATCCAATGAAGATAAATTTAGAGAAGAGAAATAAAATTAGCGAGGAAAAATATTTAACTAAATGTCTGTGGTAATGGTGAGAGAAGAAAACAAAAATATCCCAAATTGGAGGCTATATTTCCAAAGAGGTTACCTGATGTTCAGCTGTCACAGCAGTCGATGGTGGGGGAATCGATGACTCAGCTGGGGGCTTCAAAATGGCGCAAGTGACGTGAAGATGAGACGAGATGAAACGAGAGGAGCCTGGAGCTGGTGAAAATGGTGGGGGTAGACGTCCAACAGAAACGAAAAATCGCTCCAGACTGACTTTAGACCGCATCCCGGCAATATTATGGCATTATTTTGATGTCTTAATCCTTAAGACTGGGTATTACTGCCGGGCTGGTGCATATAAATAAGCGATAAACATCGCGAAAAACACCCAATATTTAAACAATATACAGTTCTGGGATAATTGTTTCTCAATTTTTTTACTAAACAAAAAATAAATAAATATCTCAATATCAACATTTAAAAAGGTGTGAATGGTGAGAAAAAAATAAAGATCTGAGCGTATGCGTTAACATAGATCTTTCTGCAAATCGAGATTCCTATATAAAAAATGTGGTGCCATGCGCGCATCACACAACTTTCACTTGCCAATCTTATAGTGGATAGGTATTTTCATATATAGGGCGTTCAAAGTGAAAACGACGGACTGTGGTTCAAAGGCGGAAAAAAACCTTAAAATGAAAAATATTAGCTTATTTCAATCAGAATTTTTGTGCTATATTATAATATTCCGGTTAACCGATTTTGATGAAAACGTTGCTGTATTATAAAATCCATATATATGCAATTTCACTTTCATATGACTTTTGGTGTTTGAGCTAGACTGGCCACTTACATACACAAACACAGACACTCCGAGAAAAACCCATTTGCGGCACTTGGTTATTTGGACTCATGGGACCTCAAAATTTTCGTTGAAAACTCGGATTCGAAAATTCGCATGATCGCAATACTTTCCCTTAATATGTATTCCATATATAGGCAAGTGAAAGTAAAAATAAAGAGTAAGGGATATTTTTATTTAATTCGGCTTTTCGATTCTTCGTAAAATTTATGAAACGTAAAACCTCAAATTTTAGAGTGCTGCTATCTTAGTGTTTCCCAAAGGCGACTCTTGGTCTTGTGCACTCAGTCTTGGTCTTGGTCTCGTGCAAGAACGCAAAAGTCTTGCAGCTACCTATTAGCTTATTACTATAGACATATCACTATAATTTTGTTAGATAGGAGAACCGTCAATTATTAGTAACTATTTTGCCTTAATTTTTATTCAAAATTCGATTTTTTTTTAACCAGTCTTGCTCTTTGGCATCACTATGTTAACTGCACTTAAAACTTTGCCACATCATAAAAATGCATTCTGGAATGAAACAATTCTAGCTGAAATATTTTTATATTCAAAATTATGTTAATAAGTAGCAAATTAAGTCATCGACCGATAGCATATTAATTTCACAGCTTCAAGGTATTGCACAAACAAAATTGTTTGTCTAAAAATCAAAATATTCACACTACAGTAAATTATAACTTTGAAGCTCGTTTTCTCAAAATTATAGTTAATGCAGTTATTTATTTATTTATTTTTTCATTAAATTTGCCACTGCATTGTAACGCATCAAGCAAATGTGTTGGAGTTTATTCTATCCTCTTGAATTCTTGATATTTTTAACTTTTCAGCAGAAGATCTCTAGGCCACTTACTTTTTAATCGTCTTTGAGGCTCACCAGATAACAGGGAGGAAGATAGAGATAGAACGAGTGGATTTGGATGATTGAGAGCAGAAGAATGAAATGTTGTGTATGTAGGATTTTATTTTGGTATGTTCATGTCTGTTTGTATAGTGTAATTTGAAATAAACCAAGGAGATTTGACGATTTTCCGAAGTATTTTGGATTGTGTGGTTTGAATTTCGTTTATGTGTGTGTTTGGCGGAACCCCAAAGTTCTGCTTTGGAAGAAACATGAGTCGTTTGTAATTAATTCGAAGCTTGGAGCGTTTGTCTAGTAAGTGCTGGAGTAGTCGGAAACCTCGAGCTGTTTCTAGTCGTTTCAGTCTGGTATGAGGATTCCAAGTTAAACGTTTGTCTAAGTGGAGTCAAATGTATCAAATTTATTCAACAGGAATAAGTGGGCTATTATTAAAGGATACAAGGACATAGGTAGGACAAGAGGACATAGGTTTACGACGAAGGATAAAGGTGATTTGATGGGATTTATTGGAATTTATTTTTATCCTCCAGTTTTGAAACCATTCTTCAAGGTTCGTGATGTGTGATTGAAGGTTTGGGATGCAATGGTTAGGTCATTATTAACGGATAGGACACATGTATCATCGGCATACGTGGTAATGACAGTGTTAGGATGGGTTGGGATATCAGCTGTATAAACTGTGTAAAGGATAGGACCTAGGATACTACCTTGAGGAACACCTGCGGACTGGGATAAATAGGCATTATTATGATTTACTATCAGTTACATAGGAACGGATAATCGGGAAGTATGTAGGGTGTAGGAATTTACGGAGTTTGTAAAGCAGTCCTGGGTGCCAGAGTCGATCAAAAGCTAAAAATTAAATTAAGTTAAATGTTAAATCAATTCAAAGTTATTAAAATAATGTTACAAAAATGTATATCGATATAATTATAAATTATATTTTTATATAATAAAAGAAAAAAAGAAAAGAATGGAACCACTCTTAATCGGGAATCTTCACTATGTGAGGACTGTATGTTATCCACTAGACTATGGAGAAACTTACAGAATGTAGAATGATCTGATGTCCAAGTTAAAGTTCAGCCTCAATGTGAGGTGTCTATATTACGAAATGTTTTTAATTTCACTTGCTGAGTTGAACACTCAGGGATTCAGAAAATGTCTTTTAAAGGGTCGCTTCTCACTTTAAAATTGTTCAAAATTAAGCCAAATCATCGAATAGTGATATTCGCCGTGGTGTAGCTGAGGTACGTCTTCTTGAGGGAGAATAATGTCCCAGATGTGTGAAGTCTCCGTCACAACCTGGAGAGATGAAAACTTTGGTTGTCCAGGAAGAATGGAGACGGAATGAAATTTCAATAAATCGCATCAAATTAAACCTACGACTTTTTGTCCTACAATATCCTACAATGGTATTCCACTTTTCTCTGTTGAACAAATACGTTTCTTAGGACTCCAATTGGACAAACGTCTACTTGGAATCCGCTTACAAGACTGAAACGACATGAAACTGCTCGACGTTTCCGACTGTTCCAACACTTACTAGACAAGCTCTAAACTTTCAATTAATTATAAAAGACTCATTTACATGACTATAATAAGATCTATATGGACATACGGAGTTGAGCTTTCGGACTCCATCAAACCATCGAATTCCTATCGTATCCATTATATATTATTACAATTCAAATACTTTGTAGAATCCTTAAATCCCCATATTTTGTCACAAATAAAACCTTAATGTTCCATATGTCGTTGATTTAGTCAAAGCAAGATATATATTCTTTCATAACAAATTCCAGTCCAATCCGGATCGACTTCTCTCAGCCTTGCCACTTCCTACATTCCTGATAATCCTCCTAGGCTTTTGAAGAGAAGATGGTCTCGTGATCTCCTTACTTAGAATTATTTAGGGAGTGCTATCACTGGATAGTGCCTCCACAAGTCTGTTCATGTCATTACTCTTGATTTGCTCATATTCACTAGTTGTAATTATTTAGTACAGTTGGAAAATTTAAATAAGTAAATAAAAAATAATAAAGAACTTTGTATTGATAGTATTTTCAAAACCATCATGTTAAAATAACAGTGATCCTGAGTATAGAAGAATTAATATATGTTAAAATATATCGAAACGTGATCTTGTTTCAAAATGAGGTATATTTTCAGAGTCTAGGCTTAGTTTTATATTTAAAAAATAACAATCTATATTTTTATTAATATTAACATATTTGATAACTATGGAAGGTATTATATATATAGAAAATAAACTTTATTCTGGGAAGAAGACTCCTTAGAAAAACAATAATAATAATATTTATAGAATGATAATAATATATACACTGACAGGCAAAAATTCCACCCACTTGATTTTTTCATGTTTTCATCTAATAATATTTCTGCTTTGGATTGGTCTATTGTTTTTAATGAATAAATAGGTAATCTTTTTGTTTGTTTTCAATCAGGAATGTTAATATAGAGGACAATAACCCTTAATCCTTAATTCAATGAAATGATTCTATATTCCAATGTTTACTTTCTATGGAATCAAAATGTTTATTCAGTATCATTAGTTCAGTGCCGTTTCTTGCAGCACATTTCTTAGTCTCCGGCTTTTAAAAATTTTCAATATTAAGTTTAAAAATGCCTCTTAGTGCTGAGGATGTTGCGCGTGGTGTGGCACTTATTGATGATGGACGTTCCATTAGATATGCAGCTAATGCCATCGGAGTTCCATATGAAACTTTACGAGACGCCGTTAGGCGTTTTCGGGAAACTGGTTCTTACAATAGAAGGCCCGGTTCTGGACGGCCTAGGGTAACCGGTTTTTTACTTTGAGAATTTTACGAAACCTTACCGTTGTTCAAGCGATTCGTCAGCTCGAAGAAGTTCGAGGTGTGCAAATTTCTGAACGTACCGCTCGGAGAAGATTAAATGAGTATGGATTAATGGCTTTTCGTCCATTAAGAGGACCAGAGTTGACCAGAACTCACAGAGTAACACGGCTGGCTTTTGCTCGAGAACACAGCCATTGGACTATGGACGAATGGAGTGCTGTACTTTTTACAGATGAGTCAAGATTCGCTCTTCGATCTCCAGACGGGCATGAAAGGCTGTGGAGAAGAAGAAACGAAAGATATGCAGCCTGTAATTTTTTCCAGAGCCAACCATTCCAACGTGGTTCCTTAATGGTGTGGACAAGTGGGTGGAATTTTTCTCCTGTCAGTGTATATTCATAGCGTACCAAAATTATATATATATATTTCGTTTTTTTATTTATGAATATAAATAAGCTCTTCGTATTTCGTACCTCTAGTCGAATCATATACCTTACCTATATTTAAGGTGTAGATTAATAATTATTATAAATTGATAGTATTATTAATATAAATTTAGGTCGTTTCATTGATTAGTTGTGGTTCTAAATTATCACTAATAAAAAATATCAATGGAGGGCTTACTTCTAGATTAAAGATCATTGATTGCTTGAGTGCTGGCCAGTATTTCTCTTTGAAGGTTTTTTTTACTTCTTCACTTGATTCATTGATTAGGTTTCTATCATAGAAGGCGCCGTAGACAAGAATCATCAATGACAACAAGATGGGGGTTAAGATGAACAAGTCGAGGAGAAGCTTCGTCACCAAGAAACTCAATTTTCCATGGCATTTCAGTTTGCGGTAAAGGAACAAATTCCATTTGGATAACAAGAAACCCTGTAAAATAGTTTAGTATTTATTATTTCGTACATACTATTTGTTATAAAATTATGAAGTTAGGTAGATATAAGAGACCTAATCTAAGTTTTGACTAAACGATGTTTAATCGAACGAGGTTAAAAAACGAGGTTTAATTTAAACCTCTCCTATAATTATTGGAGGAAGCTATTCGACTGTTCTACATATCATGGGTGATAAATATTCAGGTCACATTCATTATAAACAATTTTTATTCGTGCCAACGTTTCCAACTTAACATGTGGGTCATCCTCAGGGCGTGGTTCGAGCACTGAAGGCTTTCATGTAATTTCAGAGTACATGAAAGCCTTTAATCATCCACTTCTTACTGAAGCTCAAACTTGGTCCAAATCTGATGAAGAAAAATCCCAAATTTTTGCTAATCACCTTTTCAAAACTTTTAATCCACATCCTGATATCCTTAATCTAAATCAGCTTGAATGTATTGAAACAGAACTGGATATTCCACTCCAAATGACTCCTCCTCCTAAAGCATTTCATCCTTCCGAAATATCCAATATTATTCACACGGATTACCCTCCCGCAAAGCTCCTGGCAACGACCTAATCACTTCCCACATTCTTAAGCTACTTCCTCGAAAAGCCATTCTATTCCTTACTTACATTTATAACGCCGTACTCCGTTCCACATGTTTTCTTGACTCTTGGAAACTATCTGTAGTCAAAATGATACATAAACCCAAAAAGCTAACAGAATACCCATCCTCTTACCGTCCTATCTCTCTTTTACCCATCATGGGCAAAATCCTGGAGAAGCTCATCTTAAAACGCCTGTATCCCATCATAGATTTTAACCACATAATCATCCCTGATCACCAATTTGGATTCCGCACATCTCATTCCACTATCCAGCAATGTCATCGTGTGGTAGATATTGTCTCCTCTGCATTGGAGCGCGGAATGTATTGCGCTGGAGTTTGGCACCCGAGTCTGGCATCCGAGATTGCTTTACAAACTCAGTAAATTCCTTCCCCCTACATATTTTCTTATCATCAGTTCCTATCTTACTGATAGACACTTCAAAGTAAATCACAATAATACCTATTCATCCCTCTTTTCTCAATCTGCCGGAGTTCCTCAAGGTAGTAAGTATCCTTGGTCCTATCCTTTACACAGTTTATACAGCTGACATCCCAACCCATCCTAACACTGTCATCACTACGTATGCTGGTGACACATGTATCCTGTCAGTTAATAACGACCCATCTATTGCATCCCAAACTCTTCAATCACACATCACAAACCTTGAAGAATGGTGTCAAAACTGGAGGATTAAAATAAATTCCAATAAATCCCATCAAATCACCTTTACCCTTCGTCGTAAACCAATGACTTGCTGTCCTATAGTATCCTTTAATAACACCCCACTTATCCCTGTAGAACAAATCCGATACCTAGGACTCCACCTGGACAAACGTCTCACTTGGAATCCTCATACAAGACTGAAACGACAAGAAACTGCTCGACGTTTCCGCTTACTCCAGCACTTACTAGACAAACGCTCTAAACTTCCAATGAATTACAAAAGACTCATATACATTACTATAATAAGACCTATTTGGACTTATGGAGTTGAGCTATGGGGCTCCACTAAACCATCGAATTCCTCTCATATCCAATCTTTACAATCCAAAATCCTTCGTAAAATCCTAAATGCTCCTTACTTAATGTTCCATATGTCGCTGATTTAGCCCATGCACATATATTTTTTCATGACAAACTCCAGTTCCATCTGGATCGACTTGTTTCAGACTTGCTACTTCCTAGGTTCCTGATAATCCTCCTAGGTTTCTGAAAAGAAGATGGCCTCGTGATCTCCTTACTTAGAATTATTTAGGGAGTGCTACCATTGGGTAATGCCTCCACAAGTCTGTTCATGGTATTACTCTTGATTTGCTCATATTCACTAGTTGTATTTATTTAGTACACAGTTGTAAATTTAAATAAAAATTAATAAAAAACTTTGTATTGATAGTATTTTCAAAATCCTCCCGTTAAAACAACAGTGAACCTGAGTATGGAAGAATTAATATATAGTAAAATATATCGAAACGTGACCTTGACTCGAAACGAGTTATATTTTCAGAAACGATTCTTAGTTTTATATTCAAAAAAGAAAAATCGATATATATATATATATATATATATATATATATATATATATATATATATATATATATATATATATATTTTTATATAAACATCCCCACTCGTTTCTAAGATTTAAAATATATCTAACCTCGAAGTATCGATCTTTTTCTCTCGATATATGCAATAACTCTTATATATTTCAAAGATATCAATACGAAAAATATATCGATATAGTTTTTTCGATAATTATTTCCCTTCTAGCGATTCCAAAGAGAAAAATTTACTTTTTAAAGTAAAACTTACAACTGGAAAAAATCCCATTAAGGCAAACAACAAGGTTTCACGAATATTCCATTCGTCGGTGAGGAACTTCATGAAAGTCCTATCTGCTGCATGAGGTTTGAGGTGATACTGGCCGATAAAGTCACCGAGAGCTAATATCAAAGCTGTAAAAAAAAAATAATAATAAACAAAAAATAATGAAATAAAATAAATATTATTACAATAAAATGTGATTTTTATAATATCAAAATCTGGTTCAGTTCGCTCATCACATAACATCATCTACCACCCTAATTAGACTAGAAGTTGGTATTTAATGTATTTGGAAAATTATAGAACTTATAACATATCAATTTTAAACAACGATCTAGTCTGCCATCTTTATACGTTTGCTTCACTTTCCATTTCTTCTTACGTCTGTTAGTAGTACCTAGTAATATTAATGAATGGCGAAAATGGATCTTTTTTGGAGAAATTCTGTACTTGATAGCAAACATCTTTCAAGAAACCTGTTGAAGCAATGAGCTAAGAACAATAAAAGGCTTAGCGTACCTGAAGGTTCGATGCCGACACCATCAATTTTTGTCCACACACCTACCAAGGCCCGTGAGAATAATTTGCATTGTTAAGTGATCAAATGCCAAATTAATGAGAAAATAAAATAATGCAACGTATCATAAGATAAAGAAATCAATTGTTACTTTATCGATAAATATAATGGACAAAGGGAACAAAAATTAATTTAAAACTTCATTAATGTTTGGAACCAACAATTTTTAGAAATTTCAATAAGCTGTACATATGCTAAAAATTGTCCGATTTCGATGATTTTTTTTTTCCTTTTGTAGGGAATTTGATAATCTTTTATATAATCATGGGCATGACCAAAGGAAAAGTGAGTAATTTTAGAGTTATTCGTAAATAAAGTTTCTTTTCTTTCATAACTTTTTTAGGGTGATTGGACTATTTTGCCCGCCGAAGGAGAAGGAAGGCTTCGAAATTGGTGGCTCAATCTTGAGATTTGGTAAAAAATTGACAATGATTTGGCTTGCCGATCAAAAACACCATCGATAAATAATATAAACTCCTCCTCTCTCGATCATAGAGACCTCAAGTCGACGAATGAGACATGTATTCAATGACAGTACTACAATTAATGTAAGGTTGTGTGGATGCGAACCCTATGCCTTGCGTTATCTCGGGAATAGTACGTTTTGGGGCGTAAAAACGTAGGACCCGTATGGATCTACAGACTTACCACCGTTCAGCTATTGAAACCTAGCAAAATGTTTGTATCGACTTTATTTATTTTAGAAAAAAAAAAAAAAGTGGAGAATACGGTTTGCTAACCCCCTGTGAAATTCTAAATCCAACGGTACCCCATTCATGGTATTTGAGCATTACTGTAATAATACAAGTGGGGATTAATATTAATATTACAATTAAATATTAAAGTTAATATTAATATATATTTTTGGTGAGAACAAATAAATAGATAACAAACTTAAGATAATTTGTATACATCATTCAATTGAAAACGTCTAAGTCACTAGGTTTACCTATAATCACTGCCGTGTGTCCATGTGACCATTTGCAGCGAATTCCACCGCCACTAAATTTGAGGTATTTAATTTTTACAGTCACCGTCTTCTGCCTGGCTAACCAATAGAGGTTTTGTTGGTCATATTATATTATTTCAAATGTGTTTTTTTTTTTGTATAAAATAAGAAAAAAAATATTGCTGAATGTATTAAACGAATTCAAAAAGTATGTAATAAATCACAAAATCCAAAAGTTAATTTCAATAAATTGGGCCAAAAAAACATTCAAATTAGTTTCTAGAGTCCTTTAAAACTCTTACATAAACATTTTTTTATTTTTATTTTATTGAAATTTACAACTGTATTACAAGGAAAATACAATAAGTAAATGTGACATTGGTAACATGACATGTACAACATGAAGAGAAACTACCCATTGGTAGAACTCAAATTAAAGTTCTATATTAGAAGGTCCCGAGGCCATCTTCTTTTCAGACTCCTCGGAGGTTTCATCAGGGATCGAGGAGGAAACAAGGTTTGAAACGAGAGGATTCGGATGGTTCTGCAGTTTGTTATGGAAGGATAGGTATCTGGATTGGACCAAATCGGAAACATATGGAACATTAAGGCCTTTATGGATGATTTTATTTGTTACAAAGTAAGGAGCGTTGAGGATTTTACGGAGGATTTTGGATTGTAAGGATTGGATACGAGAGGAATTCGATGGTTTAGTGGAGCTCCAAAGCTCAATTCCGTAAGTCCAAATAGGTCTTATTATTGTCATATATGTGAGTCGTTTGTAATTGATTGTGAGCTTAGAGCGTTTGTCTAGTAAGTGCTGCAGTAGTCGAAAACGTCGGGTGGTTTCTAGTCGTTTCAGTCTGGTATGGACATACAAATTAGTTTTGAAATAAAAAAAAAAAAAATTATTTTATTGAAGATTTTTTTCAAATTATCAGTTTTATATTTTATCACTTTATACGGAATCGATAAAGAAAAACTCCTCGTATGTTTTTATTTTATAACTCCAGTTCAAAAGTGCCATGCTCTGTAACATGGCAACCCTTACTCCAGGCCATGGTTACCGTGATTAATTATACAGATGATTATCACCAAGCGTTTTTTATTCGTCTAGCAATCAGTATTGTTGTTTGTTCTGCAAAAGTGAATAAATTTATCTCGTCTCCCATGATAATTATAAATTGAAATATGTCACAGTATTCACTCACACTAAAACACACAGAACAAGTGAAAGTCTTACGAAAGGGAAATTGCATATTTAAGGTTTGTATTTGCCTGGGATTGTACAGGTTGTTAACACTTTATGTAATTGATTTTTACATTTTTACGATTTTTTTCGAAAATGGCGTTAACAATTTTGATTGAATTCGTTATATCAATATACAATTAAGATGTTTTTAATATGATTTAAAATTTATTCACATTTATGTTCTTTAACAGGACTTAAATAATTATTTTTCAATATTTCTTCCTCTAAAGTACCTTCATTTTTTTTATTTGAAATAATTAACCATTCCAATGGAGGGACCAAATGAATAAGAGCGCGCTTGGGCATATCTGAGCTCGCCTGAACGATTAGAACCGGCTTCCATACGTAATATGAGCATAATATAATATGGAATCCGAAAATATTACATACATATAAATATGCGGTTTTCATAAGTGCTATAGATTGGTATTATTTAATATTAATTGTATAGAATGCAGCGTTATAAAATTAAAATATAGCTATATATATATATATCCCGAAAAATCTCAAATTAAGGGTATATAATGATATGATAAAGCCAGTTCTAATATATGGCTGTGAGACCTGGACACTATCCAGCACCCTAGAATAAAGTGTTGAAAGATTTGAGAGAAAAATCCTCCGCAGGATAACCGGAGCGATCTGGGGTCAGAGTACTAATACATCGAGAAGAGAGACCAATAAAGAACTGCTTACAGAAACTGGTCAATGAATATTCCATGATATGAAGGCACGGTGTTTAAGATGGGCAGGTAGCTCTTAGCAATCCATCAGGAAAGCTCTACGCAACAATGAATGCTTCAATAGAAGGCAAAATACTACGTAGAAGGCCAAAAATCAGATGGATAGATAGAATCAACCAGAGCTGCGTGCAGGTAAATGGACAATGGACAGAAATAGCATACGACTGATAGAGATGAAGCAGGCTTGTTAAGGCGGCAAAAGATATCCATGTTCTATAATACCAACAGAAAAAAAATATATATATATATATTTATGTATATATATATATATATATATATATATATATATATATATATATATATATATATATATATATACATATATATATATATAGACCGGTACATAAACAAATAAAAAGACCCATGAATAAAAAGACCGAACTTGTCTTAATGCTCTAGATAAGCTTACTTAGAACAATATATTAATTTATTTAGTGTAACTAGAGACCAAATTTCCACATTTTCATTCGCTTGCGTGTAAAAACTCCGACAATTTATCTGTTTAACGATCTGTATAATAACAAATTTAAATTTAATATTACACTTTTTACTGTTTTGGGCCTAAACTGCACGATTTTGATTTCTGATGCATCTAATTGCACATTTTTGCTCAATTTGTGCAAGATTGAGGTGGTTTATAAATATCAGTATACATGCGAGTGTAAATATTTACTTTTTTATTTTACTATCTTGACCCTATTAAATTTATAATTGAAAATATAAATATACGAGGGAAGTAAATAATTCTATGATTCGAACAACGGTTAAAATTTAACGTTACAAAAAGTTAATCCAAATGGAAAATATTCTTGGAATATAAATTGCCTAAAATACTGGATGATAATAAAAAACTGACTTTTTGTTAGAAAGACATTTATTGTTAATATTTTGACTTGAATTTTTTCTGATTCGTCAGCCCTTCAGTATCCTTTCTGGAATTGTAGTTGTTTTATTATTTAAAAAAAAAATATGAATAATGCCGAAATTAGGATGTGGTCTCTCATCCAAAATTAAAATTGGATATCAAATTACCAAGAGTTGAAATTGTATGCGAAAGATAACTTCTGTACGCCCTGTGAAAAATCAATTGGGTTGGAGGTAAGAACATATGTTTCCATCAGAAAATGGAATATTTTTTTTGTGATAACACTAATATTTGAGTACTTGAAACTTTTAATACCACAATGTATTCCTGTATATATATATATTTCATTTTCAATGTTGCATTTTAATTCTTTATTTTTTCACTCTTTACGCATTATTTTTACCACAATGTTTGATAAAATTTCGATTTATTAATATTATGACTAAATATATGATTTTTGCACGGTTTTAGGTGTTAACCACACAATTTATAATATTTTGGATTTTTTTTCAGATTTTCACTTCACTAAGATCCGGTATCTAATTATAATCTCAATAATTCATAATAAATAAATTAGGTGTGAATATCTCCGAAAAAATGATTTAACAGCCATACCTTTCAGGAACTTTTTTCTTGTTTTGAGATCCCTAATTCATAGTTCGTGGTACAACCCATTTTTATAAAATTATTAACATCCGGCTGAAATTTCGTGAATAGTTTTATCTGATCGTTGCCTACAACTTTATTTACAAAAAAAATGTCTATTAAATTAGGTACTGAAAACCCCTTATTCATTTACTATCCACTTGAATTAAAAAGTAAAAAAGGTGGCCTGCAATAATATTGATCGTTTGGTGTGACCTTCATCTCTAACATGTCGAAATAATGAGGTTATATAGGCCAAACGACCCAATATGTTTGTAGATTTTTAACGATTATCTATTCAAATTATCTTCCGATTCAAGTGGAAAGCAAATGAAAAGTACTTATTAGTTTTTTTTTTTTTTTAATTTTGTAGATTACGATAAGTTGAAGCCACTCACGAAGTTAAATAATTTATTTATTTATTTATCAGAGGTCAAAAATACAAAAATACTCCTCCCGATAATGACCTACTCCAGCGAGTCATGGACCCTCACCACAAAACACATCAGTCGAACCTAGACCATGGAGATGCGATTCCTGCGAAGGATAGAAGGAAAAACAAAGAGACATCGCATAAAGAACTTCATAATAAAGACAAATCTAAACGTAAGATCAGCCGAAACTGTGATAGAGGAAAATCGTTTGAGATGGTTTTGTCATGTCCTTCGAATGCCAAAGAATCGAATGGCCAGGATAGCGTTGGAAAGTAAAGTTGAGAGAAGAAGACCTCAGGGAAGGCCAAGGAAGACATGGGAGGTCAGTGTCAAGGAGGCCTTTGACAGAAGAAGGGGGCATTTGGCTCGGAATCGAGAGTTGTGGATTCGGCTCTACAAGAAGGCTCCTCACAACGCACGGCCGTAGAAGAGGAAACGATTAAGAAGAAGAAGATAAAAAGAGGTCTGTACCACTGGCTATCAAATTTTTAGTTAGGACACTTAACTCTGAAACACCCTGTATAGTGTAAATAATAAAATACGTTATAAGTAAAATTTCTTGTACATAGAGAACGCTATATATATATATATATATATATATATATATATATATATATATATATATATTATATATATATATATATATGTATACATACCTGCTGGGATGCAATAGGTGAGCCATGGGTAGCTGTACTTCTTCATCCTTCTTCTTATCCTCACTATGGAGCAGTAGTCCATGCCAAGATATTCCATCAACTTCCAGATCCTGAGAGCTTCCATGGTGCTGCCTGGAGATTTGTAGAAGAGATTCCTGAAGACAGGTTGGCTCTGAATCGTGACGAGAACTGGAGGTCGGGGAAGAAGACCAGGGTTCTCCCTGAATCTCAGCCCGACAAACCTGGCTCCGGCCAGCCAGATCCTCCTGGACAAGGCCATCTTCTTGTATTCTTGCTAAAAGTTCATCCTTCTTCTGTGTATCCTTTGCCAGAGCGACGCGAAGCGATGAGGAAGGTTATGACAGGTGTTTACTTTGTGTCATATGTTAGTGTAACTGAAAACAATTTTGTGGCCTATCTCGTACATAGCTTGGTCTTTACTAATAGATACTAATTGTAAATGCCTTATATATTTCATTTCCCCACAGTTTTTTTTAACGGTTTCTATATTTAACTGTTATAAGAATAATAGGTTTCTGGTTTAAATTTTAAATTATTAATTTTTATTTTAAACGTTTATTATCTACACTCATATATAACATGGTAGCATAGATGTCTTCTCCGGCTTTCATTCATAAAAGATGTGTTTTGATGAATGAGATGTCAAGAGGATCCCATTCCAATTACTTTTATTTGAGTATTTTCGTGGATTCATTAATACAAAAAAATATTTATCAAGAATAGAGTATTTAATTACACTGTTTAATAACTGCATTGAAACACCACATGTTCCCAAACAACACATGTAATTATAATAATAATGGTAGAAATAATCTCCCGGATATTTTGTTTGTAAATAAGACAAATAAAACTGCTAATATCATAGATGATAATAATAAAAATACCTTTATTACTAACAACCCATGAAGTCTTGGGTTGAGTACTATATGAAGAAATACTGTTACAAGACCAACAGTTATGCAGAAATGTGATTGAGCCAATATCACGCTCAACCGCCCAGTTTTTCCTCCTTAATTAATCATTTAATTAAGAGTACCCACTTAAAAGAGGATGAGCAAGCCTCAGGATGGTCTCCTGATCCCAGGGTCAATGAAAAATTACTATTCAGCCGGATTCGAACATGAGGCCTTGCTCTGGAAGTTCTGGAAATGATTGCTCACACACTGAGCTACCCCGCTCTTTTGTAACCACCAGGGCCGAAAGCTAAAAAATGCCAGGACGTAGTCTTAGAGATAAAAATGCTAGTACCATTAAAAAAAAAGTAAAATTAATGCCCATAATAATATCTTCGGTGTTAGTCCTGTCAATGAATGATTATAGAAGGAAATGGAAGGAACCAAATTTTTGAATTCAGGCTAGTTATGAGATAAGCATTAGGTCACCCAGAAGATCACTTTTTTCGCTATGACGCTTATGTCCGAGGAACTATCCATCTCAGCGATAAAAACATCCTTTACAAAATTAATACTTATAAGATTTACACAAATATTGTTAATATTCCTTTTTACGCTATAATGCTACAGAAATTTGGAATTAGGGCCTTTCAAGTACGGATTTTATTTATTTTTTTTTTATTTATTATTATTTTTTTTCGGTTCTTCCCTACCTCGCCTTTTAGGATTCATCTTCCGAGGATAAGGGCGGGGAATTCAAAATCCCCTCAGGCACAGGGACGCGAACTCGTACTTTTTTTAAAATTTTCTCAAATCTGTAATCTGGTTGCCAGGCAACTCGCGGTGCTGTGAACACGCTTTAGCCCATTCGGCCACCCCGCCAACCACATTCATTGGATGTTGTATTTATGACTCCTTCATCGTAAATCTAAGACTTCATGTCCTACAGTATCCTTTAATAACACCCCACTTATTCCTGTTGATCAAATCCGATACCTAGGACCACAGGCGGATCTATGGGGAAGGAGAGGAAGGCTTTCGGGCTGAAGCTCCCCTCCCCTCCCTCCCCCCAAAATGGTAAAATATAAACATGTTTTACAGAAAAAAATATTAAAAACTATCTCTTAAAGTATTCTTGTTCCTGTAATTACATTTGATAGGACTTCAGGAACCACTTAAACACCATTTCATATAGGTAGTTAATTGAAGTTTTATGAAAAAAAAAATCTATCGGGCTTGCCTAGGACTTGTTACTTGGAATCCTGATAAATGACTGAAACGACAAGAAACTGCTCGACGCTTACTGCAGCACTTACTAGAGGATTCGGATGGTTCTGCAGTTTGTTATGGAAGAATAGATATCTGGATTGGGCCAAATCGGAAACATATGAACATTAAGGTCTTTATGGATGATTTTATTTGTGACAAAGTAAGGAGCAGTGAGGATTTTACGAAGGATTTTGGATTGTAAGGATTGAATACGAGAGGAATTCGATGGCTTAGTGGAGCCCCAGAGCTCAACTCCGTAAGTCCAAATAGGTCTTATTGTAGTCATGTATATGAGTCTTTTGTAATTGACTGGGAGGTTAGAGCGTTTATCTAGTAAGTGCTGGAGTATTCGGAAACGTCGAGCTGTTTCTTATCGTTTCAGTCTGGTATGAGGATTCCAAGTTAGACGTTTGTCTAAGTGGAGTCCAAGGTATCGAATTTGTTCAACAGGAATAAGTGGGGTATTATTAAAGGATACTGTAGGACAAGAAGACATAGGTTTACGACGAAGGGTAAAGGTGATTTGATGGGATTTATTGGAATTTATTTTTATTCTCCAGTTTTGACACCATTCTTCAAGGTTTGTGATGTGTGATTGAAGGGTTTGGGATGCAATTGTTGGATCGTTATTAACTGATAGGATACACGTGTCATCGGCATAGGTGGTAATGACTGTGTTAGGATGGGTTGGGATATCAGCTGTATAAACTGTGTAAAGGATAGGACCAAGGATACTACCTTGAGGAACACCAGCGGACTGGGAAAAAAGGGATGAATAGGCATTATTATGATTTACTTTGAAGGATCTATCAGTAAGATAGGAAAGGATAATGAGGAAGTATGTAGGGTGTAGGAATTTACGGAGTTTGTAAAGCAGTCCTGGGTGCCAGACTCGATCAAAACATAAGACTTTGATCAAAAAATAGTCACGAGTTCGCGTCCAGGTGTCCGGAGGAGTTTTTAAATCCCCGCCCACACTCCCTGGCCCGGGAAAAACTCCGTATAGCCTTAAAGGCGAGGAAAAAGGTCTCATTTTTTTTTTTTTAACTAATTTTTCCCTTTTTTCCCATCCTTTAATTTTACTCGCCTTTGAGGAAAGTCACCGAAGAAAGATTTGTGTTTCATTTTGAAACACTTTGACCCCAACACCTTGATAAGTTCCTAAGAACTGTGATTTTATATCTAGAATTCTAAAAATGTATTTTATGCTATAAAAACAATAAAAAAGGTCCTATAATATTTTCGTGCAATATAAAAGTAGTGTCAAAAGTGTAGTAGATAGCCCCCAGTATTTACTCCATTATGTGACATTGTGTGAGGGAATGAGAAAGAATATATAATATATAGGAATGTGAAGTTGCATTTTGAATGGTACTCAATTGTGCAGTAGACAAATTGCTCATTGAAAAGTCTCATATCGATTAAAAATCGACGAAGAAAGGAAGGAGCCTAGAAAGGGCCGATAGATGGCAGAAGATGAAGAAGGATCATTGTTTATAAAGTCTTCACTGATTCGTTAAATCGCAATAAAACGGAAAGGAATATTTACAATTGCCACCAAAACGTATTATTTACAACTAACCCTTTAAAAGGTATTGAAAATAGGCCCTCGAACAAAAAATAATTTACAAAAGAATGTACTCTTCATGAATCAAATTTTTGTCGTTGTTTGGCTGAGAAAAAGAAACTGATGAAAATCCGGTCTCTATCTTTGAGCTAGATTAAACCAAGTTGAATCTAAACGAGATAAGTGAAAAGTTTGAAAAGGTAGAAACTTAAGAAAATCCGAGTTAAGTTTTATCGGAGTTGAAGTTTTTCGAGTCTTCTGGGATCTGAAACCACTAAATATTTTACTTTCTTCAAAAGAACACTTGTTGCATCAAAGATAAAAAACCTCTCTAAAAAAGACAGAGGAACTCTACTAAATAACTCAGAGAGTTCTGTTTCTATTCCACGTGTAATCTTAGTAGTATTCTGTATTCCGATAAATAATGCAGGATTTTGAGTTTTCTTTAAAATACTCCTCTATATAACAAACTGTTTATGTTTAGTGGATTATTAATTTGTATGATTGTCAACACTTATTAATCATCTTCCAAACGATAATGAAGAGAAGAATAGTTGGGGTGCTCAGTCAAAAAAGGAAGGCAAAAAATAAATTATAATATTTATTTTTTACATATGCCGACGTTTCGACCTGAAGTTCAGGCCTTCATCAGGGCTAAGAAAATAACCAGATAACAAGGTATGAGAAACATAAGTAATGATGGTAAAAAAGATAATAAAAAATGAGAAAAAAAATATATTAGAAAAATAAAATAGATAGATATAAAGTACAATGAAATTGTTAGAATAATGACTAAGAACTAAGAGATAAATAATGAAAACTGTTACATAGTGTGGAATGATGAAGTAGGCATAATCAAAAAGGGGTGACAAAAGTGTTACATTGGGAATCTTAGAATGAAATGTAAAAACATAAAAAAGAAATATAAAGTTATATAAGAAATGAAAATAAAATAAATAGTAAAATTAAAACATTGAGAATGGAGTAGTTAGATAGAAAATTGAGATATTGTAAAGTCTATCAAGATGTACAGACAATGTATAATATAATAAAGAGTTAACAACAGAGAAAAGGAATGAAAGGAAGGAGGGAAGAAATTGAGAAAGCTGAAATAAGAAAGAAATAAAAGAAGTACTTCCTTTCTCCTTAAGTGTCAAGGGGAGAATAAAGTCGCTACAAGGGAGGGGGAGAGAGAAGATATATGAAGGTGGCGTCATCTCTAACAGTTATCAGACGAAGTTTGAACTAAACGCTAGAAGCCTAAATAGGTACGAGAGATATATTATTTAGAAAAATTATGGAATATTGAACGAAAGTTAATAGAAGTTAAGGCCTGAACTTCAGGTCGAAACGTCGGCATATGTAAAAAATAAATATTATAATTTATTTTTTGCCTTCCTTTTTTGACTGAGCACCCCAACTATTCTTCTCTTCATTATCCACGACAGTCCACCAATTACCAATTACAAACGATAATGTTTGTTTGCCTCTGTAACATTTCGCTGATTAGAAAGAATTCAGTCTTTAATAAGATGTAACACGTGAGTTTCGTATAATTTTGTTTTACGAATTAAAACTAGGGCGAAATGGAACCCAGACGGCCAGAAACAACCTTGATGGCAAATAACGTCGTGAAAGAACTTCCTCTCTTGCTGATCTCTCTTGATCCTCTCTTGATGATGTTCTGCGGGCTTTGATAGAACAATACCCCAGAACAACTGTTCAAGAACTTGCAGGGAAACTTAAACTTAGCAAAACGGCCGTAAATTAGCACCTCGATTAGAAAGGTAAAAAAGCTTGAAAGTTGGGTTCCAAAAACATTAAACAACCGCCAAAAAAAAACAACAACAACAGCGTTATGAAGTTATTGCTGCATTTCTTTTCCTAAACAAAAACGATCCTTTTCTGTTCAGAATCGTAACTTGTGATAAAAAGTGGATACTTTACAATAACAGTACGATAAGCTGCAGAACATTTTCCAAACCCTCCAACACATAAAAAAACATT